CACCAGTAACTTAGACAACAGTACCAGTCTGCACAAGCATCCAAAAAGCAGTAACCAGACTGAGATATGAAGACGCAAACTGGGACTGGAAAAATGTAGATCACAGTGCATATAAACAATAAACAGTTCAGAGTGAAATCAATTATTTTACAAGTGACAGAAACTTTCAACTAATCACAAAAATAATCAAAAAATCCAAGAGTCAATCTAAGGAAGCCATGAATACACATCTTTGCGATCCATCTTCCTGCCTTATAAAGACTCCATTACAACAGTTTAAAGCATAACAATGTATATCTGAGAGCCGCGGCTGGACTTTAAAGGTCTACAAACGTGGACAATTCTGACAGCTATGGGTCGGCTAATGTCCTGAGAGCAGGACATCCCGGTCACTTTGTATAGTGAGTCAGAGGTGTTCATGAGTATCTTCCTTCACCATAATCATCCTTGATCTAGTGCGCATCAGTGCCCCACACAGCAGCATCTGCCTGAGGCGGAATTAGACACGCGCCAGTGACAACGTCTCACGTTCTATCCTCCAGGAATATGTAGAACTGGCTCTCCATGGCTGTACTTCCAACTGGAAGGTTTATACTAGGTAACCCAATAAGAAATCCAGTCCCAAAATTTCAGCCAGTTGTAAAGACCACGAGGTTTCATCATTTCGCTGGTATTTATGAAGAGTGAATATTAGTCAATAAACAGACAAAACTACTAAAGCTGCCTGACTGAGTGCCATCCTGAGTGATTCATTATTGTTTCTATACTGGAGTTCCCTCCACACTAAGAACATTAACAACAGACCAGAAACCATGCAGGTCATCAGGACTCCTCCATTACTAGTTACTGTTATAATGACTGGCCACCAACAAATCTTCACTGTTTCAGTATGTAAACAGTTTAAACTTTCTTCTAAGAAACCACACCTTGGGGTTTTTTTTCCCTAATTTTTTCCATTTAAAAATATCCATTCTTAGTTATGTTTCTCATTCCTCCATTTGGTTATCTGTTGTTTTTAATGGATGCATTTCCAAATTCCACTTTTCACTAACATGGTGTTATTACACACAACTAACCGAAACCAATCAGTTTTTCTCCATTTCCACAAAAAGCAAAGCAATAAAATTAAGGGATAAGGAATAACAGACTTTTGTGTTAAAAAAAAAAAAAAAAAAAACTAAATACAGAATAATCCACCATTTAATGCATGAAACTAGGTGGCCAAAAATAAAAATAAAAAATTATCTCAGTCTTTTTCACACTCATGACTGAAGCTGCAGTATCAATCTGCACCAGGGTGTGGCGCCACTGAGCTCCTAATGTGTGCCAAAGGTTTTTTTATTAGCTTTTATTTTTTTTTACACTTGTTGTGTTTTTCCAGGGTGGAGGTAAGGAGGATGACTGTCAGACCGGCAGGCGACCTGAAGGGGGGTGCAGGGTGCTCCAGGAAACAGTGGGGTTAGGAGGTTGCTGGGGGTACGGTCTTGGCTCGTAGCACGGCTGGGTCGCCGCCTTGGCAGCCCCCGGGACCCCCTGGCCCCCGCAAAGGCGTCGATGTCGCAGCAGCCGGTCCGTTCTCGAGAAGGTCTGAGAGGAGGAGGGGCGTGAACAGGACAGTGAGGCGGGACAGGGGGACACGTGTGGAGCGTGTGACATGCGTGTGACACGCGTGTGCTGTCGGTCTCTCACCTGCTGACAGCGCTCACACTGGTAGGGCTTCTCCCCACTGTGGATTCTCTTGTGTCTCCCCAGGTGGTAGCGCTGGGTGAACCGCATGTCACAAATGTCACACGCGAACGGCTTGTCCCCTAAAAACACAGGACACTACATTATCATCGAGTAAAACCCTCGTCCCATGACCTCACACTTGCAGGGCCATGAACATCTGAGTCATAATTCACTTTTTTGATAATATTAATGAGGCTAATTAGAAAATCAGCCAGATCCCCCAAATTCAGAGACATTTCCTGTCTCAGTGTGCATCCCTTTCAGGACTTAATTGTTCATGGGAAATAGTACAGCAGCTCAGAAAACTCTTAGTAAATCCTAATTTTAGTCAGTTTTAGCATCTCTTATTTGTTCATAGCCCTGCTCATTTACTAATAAGCATTCATTTGTGGTGCTTTACACATAACCTGGCCATTTGACAGAAATATGGTGAACAATATACCACCAGTCAATTGTTCTCGTGTTATAACACACAGTGGCATTCACGCACCAACGACCATAAGCGAGGCCTGTTGTGGGCTGTAACTACTCGTGTACCGACCACATGTCAATCATGGCTCAAGGGTGTACATTGTATGTAGTGAAGAAACACGGGAGATGAAGAGTCTTCTTAAAAAGTCATTTATTTCATCATAAGGAAAGCCCTGCTCTTCACTACATTAAAAAGTAACTAAGCGGATCTTTCGGATACATGTTACTTTTTTTAACAATAGTCATCATAATAGCAACTGAAAATGTTTCACCCAAATCTGTTTACCTAAAAGAATTAATAAGACTTTAGTTAAACTCTGCATGCAATGCTATTAAGAGAATGAGTCTACGTTTCAATTGCTACTCTACACGTAGTTTTCTACTATTCCTACCAAGACCAATTCAATAAAAATGAACAGCAGTATAAAACGATCATTTTATGAAGTATTTTACCCACCCCAACCTTGCGATTAAAAAGTTTCATTTAAAATTACTGAAAAATGCAAGGGGTCAGCACTGATTTATGCACTGAATAATTATTTTAGGGATTCTGCCTTATTTGCTGACGACTGTAAAAAAAAAAAATAAAATAAAAAATATCTATTAGACAGATTTCATTATTCCAGTGTTTAAAAATATAGTAGAAAAATAAGATCCTTGAGATTAATTTTGACAATGCAAAGAAATATAGAGATGAACTCAACTGACTGGTCTTTCCTTGCTTCCTTATTTTATCCAGTGTGACCATCCAGTTGAAATGGTCAGAGGGTCAAACCTCAAAACTATCCAAATGTGTAATATATGAAACACTCATGTACTATAGGATCTTATAAAATGTACAGCTGAAGTTATTTGCCTGGAATGGAAGCTCAATTATAACAAATTAAAATGTATCATTAAATCCTCTAGATGGCAGCATTGAGTGCAGTTTTGACCGTTATGAAAGCTGACTGCGCACAAGCCTGAACTGGCCTTATTGCTATCAGTGACGCAACAAGTATATTTTCCAGGTATTTACTGAGCATAAGTATGCTTGCAAAATGGCTTAATGCTGAAAAAATGACCCAAGCAATCAGGTTTTCACATTGTTGTCTACTGGTGTTTTCTTCACAAGTACCATAACTTTAGACCAAACAGCCAACATCAACATGACTCCTGACTTCCCCATTGCTGCCGTTTCTCTGACTGGCAACCAGAAAAAACATGGATTTGTATATTAAGCAGCCTGACAGATCCCCTCACAGATTTTTCTTTACCAAATGTTTTGGAGAAGTGTTTTCTATCTTAATATCAAAACACCCATTAACTACAGATACTTAATCAGATTTAATCACCTACATGGGTTCTCCATTTATAAATAAAACCCCACTTCATCACTGATATTTTGATAACACATACAGTAGCCTCTAATCCACCCAACCCATTTTCGCAGCTTTAACTATTGTCAGAGGCACAGCCAATAAAATCTAACAGTTAATAAAGACAGAACAATTTAAATCAAACTGAGTGATTACAGAATAATCTCAGCCTGTCCTCCAGACCACTGTGTCTGAAGCTGCAGAATCAATCTGCACCAGGGTGAGAGACTACCGAGCTTCTGACTGTAAGCTGAAGATGTTTTTTGCTTTTGATTTTGCATTTTTCCAGCCAGGGTGGAGGTAAGGAGGAGGGTTTTCAGACTGCCAGGCGACCTGAGGGGGGGTGCACGGAGCTCCAGGCAGCAGTGGGGTTAGGAGGTTCTTGGGGGTACGATCTCTGCTCACAACAAGGCTGGTTCTCCCCCTTGGCAACCCCTGGGACCCCCTGGCCCCCGCAAAGCCGTCGATGTCGGAGCAGCCGGTCCGTTCTCGAGAAGGTCTAGGAGGAGGTGAAGGAGAAGTGTGAGCAGGACAGAGAGATACGTGTGGAGCGTGTGACACGCGTGTGCTGTCGGTCTCTCACCTGCTGACAGCGCTCGCACTGGTAGGGCTTCTCCCCACTGTGAACACGCTTGTGTCTCTCCAGGTGGTAGCGCTGAATAAATCTCATGTCACACATGTCACAGGCAAACGGCTTCTCCCCTATAAACACATACGTTTTGTTAATGATACATTCATCATATGGGCTCCCACATGTAATGTTGGCGATGACACATCTGAACATACACGAGCTTCAAATAAGGGTTAATCAGAGACCAGGCATAGATAAGAAGTCCTGGGGATGACAGTACAACTGCAATGACAGGGAAACTTCCTTATAAATACTCTGATAAAGAACAAAAATATTACAGTGATGGGTACAGACAATTTCAGATCAGGGATTTGCCCTAGGAATGTACATGGAAGACTGTAGAGGTAAGACAGGTACAAGAGACAGATGTGGAGGTATTCCTGGATTTTTACATGCAAATGTCATAGAAGGTGAAAACAGCAGTCAACTTCTGACATAGGCATGGCAAGCTTTGGCTTTCAACCATAACCACGTGACTGCTGAACAAATTGACTATATATAAATATATATATATATATATATATATATAACAAAAAAACTAATTATGCACCAATAAGGAAATTTATGGCAGATACTGTTGGCCAATTATTCCGCAAACTCACTCCAATACTGATTGATTGGGAGGTTCTGCTTAAATAAGTTTAAAATGACTCACACCCAAATAAATGCATCCAAAATTACGAAAAAGTATTTTTTGGTAAGAAAACACCAACTCTAGCATACAACAATTACAGAGCACTATATTTTATAAGTGCATACATCATTTTTAGCATAAAAAAGAAGGGCTGATCATCAAGTGTAATATCTCTTCATGTTGCACTGTGCACTGATTTTCCTTTTGCTAGTTTCTGACAGACTAGCATTATTTGGGTGTAACTGCAGCCTTCTTATTGGTATGTAGCTTTTTCATAAACTCTTCATACTCTTTACTGTCTGACCTTAAGGTGAGCAATCAAATTTTTTGTGTTGAAATGTTTATTAGTAGATTCTCCTTGTGAAATTTTTGCAGAGCAATGTTATATGTTTTGCATTTAATGTCGTTTTCGCTAACGCTAAAATAGATACGTTTCTAACCGTTTAGTTGGCGGGTGTGTAAAGCAATATAGGTCACCATTTTAAAGGGAATTATCAGCTGCAAATATAGGCTCATTTTTAACCATCGACCAATGGCCGACTGTTGCTGTATTGGCCGATACCAATGGTTGGTCAACACAATTGGTGCATCTCTAAATAAAACTAGAAGGGCAAAGACAGTGAGAAGAGTCCCCACATAGAGACACACATTCAGTATTAATCTCATTGAATTTCAAATGTAGCGTTTCCATTTACAAACAAAATTCATATTACCATTTACTCTTAAATCAATTTTATATAAAAGTCAGTACCAAGCCTACCCAATGTTCACCTCAACTCAAAACCAGGCACATCAAGAGCGATGCACTTCAGAAGCCTGCCAGAACCACCTACCTGGGCTGGACCTCATGCCATTTATTAATAATGTTACATACCATTTCTTTCAAATATTTTCCTTGAAAATATTTAACATTTTTAAAGCTACTACATTGTACACAAGGTACATCCCCACTACAAATATAATAAAATAAAGAAAAACCCATTTGCTTTCACCTCTGCCCAAAACATTACCAGTAAACATACAAGTTTATTGCTGCTGTGGTGTTACACACCATCCGTCCTCTAACCTCTGGGTCACAGGGCAGGCCTGACGCCTGGTCTAGGCAGCCTAGGGTACAGAGCACGTAATACACCCTGGACAGTGTCACATGATATACTACAGGAGATCTAGGAATGCCAACTGGCCTAAATAGATGTTTTTGGTCAGAGGAAGGAAACCAAGGTCCCGAGATGAAGTAAAAATTGTATAATTACTGGCAAAGACCTGGAGAACAGGTAGTAACAGCAGTTTTACCACTCACTACTCACTCACTCCCAGATCTGTCACTGTATTTGCTGGGTTCCCAACAACCACTGTTAGAGCCGTTGTAGATATCTGTTCGTAGATATCTTTCAGTAGAAATGTTGATCGCTTGCGTTTAAAACTTTTATACTCTTCGTATACATTTTTCATTGCTGAAAATTAACCCCCAACATAAACCATCTGCTTTATGATTTCAACAATGAAAAGTTAAACGTCTGAATGAGTTGCTATGCAACAGACATGTACAAATATTTGTACATGAACAATCCATTTTTTGTATTGATGACCTGTGCACCCATTTTCTTATTTTAAAATGCATTTATACTGTTAACTAGCACGATATGTAAATAATACAATTATAAACGTCTATGGTTTAATTATGTTAATATTGAAGAATGGACTACGCAGCTCTTGGCTGGTGAAAGGGCCACGTGTGGCAGGCAGGGTTCACCTGTATGAATAAGGATGTGCCGCTTCAGGTGATAGCCACTCCGGAAGGCCCCATAACAGTGCTCACAGATGAAGTTCTTCTGCACTTTGGACAAGGGACATTCGCCATTCTCATCCACGACCACCACCTGCATTGCACATTGAGGAGAATAAGGTCCTCAGCATGCACACAGCAGAAGAAAGAAATGATCACGCCCCCCCCCT